ATTACTATTATCATTACTATTATTACTATTATCATTACTATTACTATTATCATTACTATTACTATTATCATTACAATTACTATTATCATTACTATTATTACTATTATCATTACTATTACTATTATCATTACTATTATTACTATTATCATTACAATTACTACTGCTATTATTATTACCGTTAATGTTAGCATTATTATTACTATTGGTATTACTATTGTTATTGTGATTATTATAATTACTATGTTGAACATGATGAATTGAGCATATTTAGCTAACATCTGGAAAATCATATTGATCATAATAACATACAACAAGTTTTCTTAATGGAACGACCGCATCATATCTTTTTGCAATAATGTAACATCTGGAAGACAGCAAAGACTGTTATAAACCCTATAATAATAACCTTTTTTTTTAAATTCACATTTAGCATGATGAGAAATGCTTTTCACCGATCTTAACACAAACGATAAATTTCCGGCCTAAAAACCTAAATGTGAAAAATGTGAAAATTTGAAGAAAAAAATGACAAAAAAGAAGAGAAAAAGGAAGAAGCAAATATAAAATAGTTTAGTTTGTTATTATTTGAGTGTTTTTATTACTTGAAAGATTTTTATTTTATAAAATTCAATCGACATTTTTATAAATTTTTCAGACGATGGACGTGTTGGATTTTATTTGCGGGTAACAGCCGTGGAAGATTGGTGTGAACGCGACTTTCCTGGATATTATACTTATGATATTGGACCGGTAAGGAATGGGTGAATTAATGAGAATCTTTTAATATTTCAAGTGTTAGAAATATCAAGGATGAAAATACTAGAAAAGGAAAGGAATTGAAAGAAAGAAACGAAATCCAAATAATAGCAAAAAAGATAAAAGAATGGATAAGTTTAATTCTATCCTTTAAATTGCTTTGCATTAGATTTTGCATGAGTGGAATGAGTTTAAAATCTTTAAAAGTTTTTTAAAAAATTTACAAAAATAGAATAAAAAAATGAATACTAAAATTTTGTGAACTGTTTAAAATGAGATTGATAAAGAGATTAGATTTTAGACTAATTATTAATCCCCCTTATTTTCAACTTGTAAAAAACAAATTAATTGATTAATTGCTTTCTTTGACAAATGAAATGATCCTTTGGATATTGATTCCTTTATGTAAATCTGCTAATGTTCAATGTTTTAGAACTTTTGAAATTTTGCACCATACTGTTAATGAAAAATTAACCAATATAATTAGTGCAAAGAATTTTCCAAAAAAAAAAAAGATGGGAATTGCAATAAATTTAAAATATTTATATTTTTGAATTATTTTTAAATGAAGTTCTAATTTAAATTTGTTCCTTATTTCCACTCTTTTTGCTCTTCCACATTTCAAGACTAAAAGTTAAATTTAGAAAAAATGTAAGTTTTTGACATTTTATTTAATTTTATTTGCAAGTTTGCTGCTTGATTTTACTGACCTATAAAGGATATGCAGTAAAATTAAACTAAAATTATCAACAAATTTTATTAAAGTCAATTAATGTATTCATTCTAACAATTATTGTTTTTATAAGTAAAATAATTATTTATAGGAAAAAAGGTCGATGAACAATTTTTGCTTCAATTTTAATTTTGAAAAAAAAAAATTGTTATAAATTTTTGTGATTAATATTTATAGATGGAACGATCTCATATTATTCCCGCGACAACAAGTAATTCTGAGCCATTGGAAATTCAACATGATTGTACATATCTTGTACACATGCATTCAATACCATATCCATATGGTGATCCAAATTTTGCTACTGGTACAAAGTATATCGTACCAACATGCATTGAGGGATACTGTAGCTGTGCTAGTATGTTCATTCATTTATTTCATTTATAAAATTGACAAAACTGTTGAATATAAATTCAATTCTTTTTATTTTTATAAAAATTATTAAATTTAGGTCAAAATGCTGTACCAGTAGCTGAAAATGTATCAGTTAGAACGTTTCAAAAAGGTAATACAATAAAAGCAGCTGTCAGTTGGATATATCCCGCTATTAGCGGTCGTACACATCAATTTCGGTTTGATCTCAGCGAAAGGTATTTTTGTATTCATTCATTTTTCTTTTTCCTCTTTTTCCATTTATGAATTAATAATTTTAATATTTTATTATGATTTCTAATTCTCTTATTAATTAATCAATAATCCGCATATTTTATTATAGAAAATTAATAATAATTTCAGATTTTATCATAACCATCTCAGCTTCGCTAATCCAAATGCATTTAAATATCGTATCGCTGAAATGCCATCACATGTTGTTTATGCGGAAGAAGTAAATGCTTAAAAGTGTTAAATTAAAGGATAATAATTATCATATTTCTAATTTGGTCTTAATTTGTATTTGTTTTCTTTTCTTTTATTTATTTATTTAATTCGAGATCCATTTGCAGAATGTAACATCGCTTTCAACTGTATTACCTATTGATTTGGCACCAAATGAGGAGTATAGATTGACAATTTTTGCAATGAATGATCAGTTGTGTCACAGCGATGACGTTACCGTTCCATTTTTCACTGGGCTAATTTTGACCGATTATGATACGGCCACATCACCAGCTGGTTAGCTTTTTTTTCTTTATTTTTTTGATTACAAAATATTTAATTTACTTTTATATAAATTACTTTAAAGATAATGAAGTATTAAACGAAAGTAAAAGAACTAAAATGAAATATTAAAATTTGTATTAACAAAGGTGAATTTTAATGGTAAAATTTAAATCAAAATGATAATATCACAAAACAGGAGGTGATAATCATACCGAAGATTTCTACCAAAAAGAATTGTATAATGTAACCGATGTGGAAGATACTGATAAAAAACCACCGCTGATTCATAAAGTACCAGAAAAATCCCTCTATTCACCTATAATCATCTTGGCGACAACATTTGCGCTTGTGACAGCTATTTTAATGGCTTGTTGTATTGCATATTGTTTGG